GTAATATTCGTTGAGGGTTTACTACAAGTCAGGTGCTGTTCTAGGCAGTGAAGATACAATCTAGGCAGTGAAGATACAAATTAGACAAAATTCTTCTTGTGATGGAACATTCTAGAGGGGGAATGGATAATTAAGTTGTTTCTGGCAAAAGAGATAATAAATAAAATGCACTATTTAAAAATCAGAATGGATAAACAACAAGGTCCTACTGTATAGCACAGGGAACTATATTCAATATCCTCTGATAAACTATAATGGAAAAGAATGTGAAAAAGAATATATATATATATGTATAACTGAATCACTTTGCTCTACAGCAGAAATTAACACAACATTGTAAATCAACTATACTTCAATAAAATTAAAAAAATCTTTAAAAAACAAAAATCAATGGACTCTCTCAGGTGTGGCTTCTAGAAGACAGAGGAGAGGAAACTCATATCCTAAGACAGTCTGGTCATATAACCTGAGGGGTCCTCCCTTCAGAACAAATTGTCTTTGGTGGTTCACGTTTGAGCTCAGTACATGAAGTTTGTACACAGCCATGTTTGCTTTAATATAAAAATGAAAGTGCATTTTTGGATTATTTTCTAAACCAAATATTCACATGCTACAGATACTTGTGGAAGGTGTCCTCTCTTCATCCTGTGGCTTCTCATACCCCCCAGCACACTGATGTATGTTCCAGAGGGTTCTCAACCTCCAGCTTGTCAGGCAGCCAGCAAGAGATATCACTAACGTGCAAAGTAGGGATTGAAATCTTAATTTTATTTAAAAATAAAATATGTATTCCATTTTTAACACAAAGGGATTTAAAATGCGAACAGTAAATGGCTCAACATCTTCCTGCCCAGATATAGAAATGCAACACGTTTAAAAAAGAAGACAAAAAAAAAAAAAAAAAAAAAGAAAAACAGGAAAAAAAGAAAAAAAAAAAAAAAAAAAAAAAAAAGACAAACAGGACAGACAGAAGAAAATAAAAAATAAAAATGACCCCCACTCAATTCCTTTCAAACAAATTTAATCATAGTTGAGGTTTATTCTGTGATCCCTTTCAGAAAACATGTGTTTTTTTATACTTGTCTGTGTATATATGTGTGTGTGTGTACACATTTACACAATAGGAATGTGATATTATGATTATAATAAGAAATATATATTTGGTCTTTGTCTCAATTCCTGGCACAGAGCTCCTAAAATGATTAGATTTCCTAAGTGAAGAGAGCTGGAAAAAAGTGTCTTTTGTTATGCTAAATAGATGACTTTTGGAAAGCCCCTAGCTAACCTGAGGATGGGGCTGGTTGCCAGGGGAACCAATCAGAGATTAGAAGGTTGGACCTCTGGGGAGGGGAGAGGGGCTAGAGATTGAGTTCAGTCACCAGTGGCCAATGTTGAAATCAATCATGCTATGTAGTGGAGCCTCTATAGAAACCCAAAGGATGGGCTTGGAGAGCTTCTGGGTTGGTGAGCACTGGAGGTGATGAGAGAGGCATGCGATCAGAGGGCATGGCAGCTCCACAGCCTTGCCCCATACGTTGCCCTCTGCATCTCTTCCATCTGGCTGTTCCTGAGTTATAGCCTTTTATGATAAAGCAGTAATCTAGTGAGTAAGCTGAGTTCTGTGAGCTGCTCTAGCAAACTAATCAAACTGGAGGGGACTGGGTTGTGGAACCTCCGATGTATAGTCAGTTGGTCAGAAGCACAGGTGACAGCCTTGACTTTTGATTGACATCTGAAGTGGGGACAGCCTTGTGGTTCTGAACCCTTAACCTGGGGAATCTGATGCTATTTGAGGGTAGATAATGTCAGAAATGAGTTGAATTTCTGTAGAAAACCCAACTGGTGGTGGGTGAATTTCAGTAGAAAACCCAACTGGTGGTGGGTGAATTTCATGGTGGTGTGGAGAAACACATACTGAAGGAATTACACACACTGTTCTGAAACTTGCTTTTTTTACTTAAAATATCTTAGCCTGCTTTAATATCAGTATATGCAGGTCATCTTTTTAATGGCTACAGAGTATTCCTTTGTAATTCTAGATTTTATTTAACTAACTCTATTGCTATATAGTGGTGGCAAATTTTAAAACATTTTTTATATTACATTAAGCGTATGTATATAACTATATAAGAATAGGGAGGTTAAGAGAAGTAAAATACGATGCCGTGAGAGAGATACTTATACTGGGTGAGAGACCAAAGTCTAAATGTCATTTCCACTGCTTGCTTGGCTGTGGTGCCAGGTGGCTGATCCAGTCTTCTTTGTCTGCCAATCCTTGGATTCTGCCAAACACATAGAATAATGTAGTTGGAGAAGTAGACTTTGGACATTTCTGGGAATCCTACTTGCTTTAGAAATCCAATTACCAAACATGGAGGTGCTCGGGAGCTTCATCAGATTCCTTCCTTAGAAGACTTGAGTCTCTCGCGGGGCAGGGAGGCATGTAGATAGGTCATTCAATAGTGTGACAAGTGCCAGGGCAGAAGTATGCTCAGGATGTTGTGACAGCAGGTATGGGGACACTCAGGCCACCCAGAAGTATGGATGTGTGAGTGTTGAGGAGGTGACTGAAAGCTTCTTGGAAGGACGATGCTTAAGCTGAGTCACTAAGATAAATGGGAGTTCCCTGGCAGGCAGAAGGGCATTCCAGGCCAAGGCGCAAAGAGGTAAGAAACAGCATGATGAGTGTGGGGAATCACAAGTAGTTTAGTGCTGTCAGAATATAAATTTTGAGACAATAAATGAGATGGACAGTGACCTGTTCATGGACGGCCTTGTAGTTCATGCTGAGGAGCTGGGAATTCCCCCTTAAGTCAAAAGATATGCTTGTCTTTGTATATCAATTAAAAGCTCTCTAAATATTTGTCATCACTTTTTGGAACTCTGGAAAACGTAATGGCTTCCTATGCTGCAACGGCAAAATTGAGCCAACTGTTAGCTTCATTATCTGTTGCTATTGAGCCCAGGATCCTTAGTTCGGTATCCGATTTCACATGGTTCTTCAGGGAACCCAGAACCTTAATCAGCCAAGTCACCAGTGGTTGCCAGAGCCCACTGCATGGTGAGTGATTTCAAATCCATCACCACTGTCAGGAAAATAGCTAAGAAGTTGGCCTGCAGCATCTTTGGATACCTAAGATATCTCATCACTGTCATCACCATCATTTTATAAAATGCAGGAACATAGCCAATCCACATAAAATATATTGCTTGGGTTTGGGTTAAAAGAGAACAGGATGGAATGGGAGTATAGCGATTTGATCTACTGAGTGGTAGTTAATACTTATTTTACTTTGACTTCTGAGTCTTTTTGTTTCTAATGTTCCATGTTTGTTTGTTTGTTTTTTAAATGCTAGGCAAAACTATTAGTGGTCTAGTATAAGGCTGGTGAAAGGCACTGGAAAGAAACAAATCTGGAAGAGAGGAGCTCAAACGGGAATACCTCATTTCTTTATTAAAAAGAGAGAAACTCGTTCTAAGCACAAAATAGGGTCTAGAAATAAACATTGTTTGTGGCGAAGTACATTTTTATCAAAAGGAAGGCAGTGTTCCCTATTGATCTCCCCACAACTCATTTATTTATACAGTTTTACTTATTTTTCTCTGCACATAAAACTTTTCCCTGAATCATCCATAATCGGATACTAGGAAGATGTGTTAAATATGTTGCTACAGTTTACATTTGTCATCTGTGATGTTTTATTTAGCCGAATCTTTTTTTTTTTTTCCTTCACAGCTCCCTGTACAACATGAAATACCATATGCCATTGTCCCTGTCAGGAAGCAAAGGTTTCCCTGGTCTGTGCCTGTGCCTATGTTTATGCCACAGCGGAGCTGTGGTCCAATGCCATCTTTTATTGATAAGGCCAGCAAAGGAGAAATCTAATGAAATTATCAAAGCTTTGAATTAATTATGAACTTGAATAGGAGAGCTAAGCTCTCTGGAGCCAAGGATCTCATTACCCATGCATTCTCATTGCATTCTCTTCTGGAGCAGAAGGCATTTTCAGCTACAGCTCTTAGCTTGGCTTTGGACTTTATTCAAACTTGCTAAACTGACATCCTCTTCTTACTACGATGTGGCTGCTAATGTCCATGATGATTAATTTAATTCTGCTCTGGATCCACAGGAGATGTCAATAGGTTTTCTCTGCCCCTCCTTCCACTTTTTATTATTTTTCTTTCTCTCTTTTTTTTCCATCCAATTGGATATTATATGAGTTTTTATCTTTTGGAGGTCATGTGAGAAGCTTTCAGAATTCAGGTGTAGCTTCATGGACCGTAGTGATTGAATTAAAGTTAAGAGCTATATTATATCTACTATGTATTCCCGGGATATTTAGGTAAGCTCAAAGTCAAGTATTTCTTCTTTGAATTTTGAACACCAAACAGAAGTTTTTCTTGCCTGTTTCTACGTTAGAATTAATCGTGTAGCAATAACTCCCATGGCCTTAACAGCATTGTTCATATTTCTGATGTGCGTTGTGTGGGAACTACAGATCTCACTTTGTGGGCGTAGCTCATAGGTCTTATGCTTCTTGATGGAGAGTATTTAATGTTTGCTTTACAATTCTGGTATTCCTTTTCCCAGTAATATGAATTTTCTTCCTTTCTTTTCTTTTTCTTTCTTTTTTTTTTTTTTTGGTGAACAAATCAACCTCTGATTGTTTTAAGTTTAGTAGCAAAATCAATAACAACAAGGTTTCAATTTGCTGTTGGGGATGATTCTTCAGTTCTGTCATATAGGTTCAAAGCATCTTATGGCAAGCCTTTTCTCCTTGCTTTTGAGAGCCATTATTTATGAATTCCTAAGCTGTAGCTCATCTATCTTAGTAAACTACAGGCTACTGGCAATTTTTGTAAGCAGTGACTAACTTTGCTTTACAGAGTCAGTGTTTTAAGGTTTTGAATAGTGGGGGATGGGAGAATGATAGTCTTTGCTTTTCCTTTTCCTGTTTACTTTCAGTGAGTTTTTTTCCCCCCATTTATTCTCTCTATAGGCAGCTGCAATATTTAATTCGGCCTTTGGAAGTTTTTTGGTAAGTAAACATGGTTTAATTTATCTTTTATAACTTTTGTTGTGATGATTGTATGAAATATTTAGTGAAAATTGGACTTTTTTTTACTATTTGGTTAAATATAAAAGTTCTTGAATCCTGTCATATGCCATTATCCATACCCTAAAGAAAATTAATAAATAAAGGAAATATTCTCTTATAATATAATTTGGAGGCTTGGGTTTAATATTCCATTTAATGGATTCAAGGAATCAATTAAAACACTATGTGTCTCCTTATAGAGGTATGTCAATATATTGATCATTTAATGAGGTCTTTTAGATTATTATTATTTTGTGTCATGGGACTGAGGATTTTGAAAAAGGAAACATGACCCAGCTGGTCAGAAAGGGAATGCTAATTTACTTGTTGACATGTCATTTATTTTGTACATTTCACTTTTAAAGAAGCTACTGTCTTGGATACTTCTGAGAAATCTATGTGAAAAAAAATTTGAAATGAGGAAATAACTAACGAGTAATTTGCAAGAAAATACAATATTTTTTGACATGTGAGCTATCAATTGTATATAAAAAGATTAAAAATAGTTCATCTTTCGTAAGTGGAACCAATATAATTATAAGGACAATACTATTTTAGCATTTTTTAATCATTATCTTTTAAACAGATGATATAAACAAAGACTTGGTTTGTGTTATGAAAGAATGAGAAAGAAACTGAGTTTTCTGTCAACTGAATATTTTATTTATACCTTCCCTAAAACTTTGCTAAATCGATGAAAACAAATTAGAATATTGTATTTTTAGATATATAACTCATTAACAGATACGTGGTTACAGTGATTTACAAAAAATTGAGAATGAAATCAGTGAGGTATATAAGCTGGTTCATGAGTCTAGGCAAAATATCAATTACTTCTGTTTAAAATGCTCTTTATGTCACTTATTATTGTATGTATTTAAATGTACTTGAAGCTTTAAAACATATTGTTACATAGTGTTAATTCTGTACAGTCCTATATAGCTTTTAATGTCCCAATGTTACAGAGCTTTTAATGATGTAGCTTCTGCAAAATACATGCTTAGATTCTATCTTATTTTTAAAGAAGCAGTAATATTATTCCCGATGGTGTATTACTATTATTGGGTTTTAGAAGAGAGGTAATAGAGTCCATTTAATGCAAATGATCTCTTGAGCTACTTATTTTAGACTCAGTGATATTTTCTTGTCATTATTTCACATATCCAAGTATTATTTTCTATATGTTGTCACAATTGACAAAATAATATCTGTAAGATACGTTCTTGCTGTAAGCCAGTTTTTTTACATGGTTTGGATTTGTATATATCCACTGTCGAAACGTGGTTACCTAAACTGGATCTCCTACTCTTTAAAATGTCTGGTGTAATTGAGAAAATAACTTTGAGGCAATTGTCTGAGTAACTAAAGCAAAATACAGTCCTTTAGTTGGAGGACAAGCTCACTAAGTACAGTTTGAGCTTTGCACTGACTGACTGTATGAACAATAAATGTATCATGTTATTTGTTCTACCAGGCCCAATTCTTTGATAAGATCCAGGGAAGTAAAACTTGTTCTAGGGATTCTTTCAGATTTTTGTTATGCCCTTTCACTTTTAAAACGTTATGCATTCTCACTCCTTAGTCTTTTGCTCTTTTTCCTCTCTTCACCTTTTTTTCTTACATTAATGAGTCAATCGAAAGTATTTATTGATTTCCTGCACACAGAGGTGGTTTTCTAATAGCTGTAGAGGTGCAAAAAAATACAACATGGTCCCACTCTGCTGTGGAGATAACACATAGAAAAAGAAATACAATGTAAAAGCTAACAAATCAAACAAAAGATGTTACTAGGTGATGTATGATTATCAGATATGAACTCTGGGTTGAAAGGTCGGACAGAAACAATTTCGCTGTTGGGCCTTGAAGTGTGATAGGACTTAGCTAGTCAAGAAGAGAGGAGAGGAAAAAGGCATGAACAGTGGCAGAGAGGCAGAAGCGTCTTCCATTTTTCCCCCTTCCCCTTCCTTTCCCTCCTTTTTCTTTCCCAAAGCTGAAAATTACCAGAAGGGGTTGAGAATAAAAATTATGATTGGAGATGTTTTGCTCCAGTGCTGTAAGGGAAAGAACTCTATTCCTTTTTCTTCCCTCTTCACCATAGTTACAACAAACCTTGGATTATGAACTATGTGCAAGTCTGAACTAAATCAGTTAGAATTAGGCTCAGCTTATTTACCAGGAAAAAAAAAATAGTGGCTTGGACAAAGGTAAATGTTTATTTCTCTATTATGTAAAATCTGGAAGGAGGCTGTCATGGGAGCTTCATGGTCTCATTGTGTACAGAGACAACCATCTTTCTCCTGCACCATCCACAGCACACAGCTGCCTTCATCAGTGTTACCTTATGGTCCAAGTGGATAGCAAGGTCTTTACCTTGGGAAAGCACAAAAGAGCTCCCCTAAAAGCTAAGTCTGCTTTCTTTAAACAGCATTCCTGGAACTCCAACACCATACTTGCAGTAATATCTCATTGCAGAACTTAGTCATATCATCCTACCCAGCCACTGGAGAGGCTGGGACATGTGGCAAATTGGTAAGAGCTACAAACTGAATTTCTGTAACTAAGGAAGAAGAGAATGTATAAGAGGCAGCTAGTGCTTTGTGCAAAAGAGCAGTGTATAGCATTTGTCAAGGGTTTGAAGAAAGAGGTTAAGCTTAGTTGAATGATATGAGAAGGCTTCAGGGAGAAGTTGGTGCTTGAGTTGGGCTTGGGTAAAAGGACTTATTTTAGAGGAGGAAAATTCCAAACTATAACCTTCATGTTTTATTTTGTTATTCCTAAAGGGTGGTACTTGTTAAGAGTTTTTTTTTTTTTTAAATTTTCTTTATAAATGAAAAATATTCACCTATCCTTAAAATTTAGGATTATTGGTAGTAGGATGGTTTCTAGAGTCAGACTGGGTTTAAATCCTTACTTGACTGAATACTATTCTAACCACAAACCCTTCCATATATATAAAATGGGGTAATGATAGTACCTAAACTATACAGTTGAGGTAAGGATTAAATGGGATAATCTATAAAAAATGCTTGAATGATGTAGTAGAAATAACTGGTCTAGGTTTTGTCCAAGTTCTACCATGAATTTTTTGGGCATGACCATGGACATTCATAAAATGAAGAAATTGGTTATCTGTGACTAAGCCCTATAATTCTAAGATACACTGATTCAATGCTTATTCTCTGGTTATGAGTGACCATTTCTTTTGTATTTAAAGCATAGAGTGTGAAAAGGCTATTTATTTTGGATTACATTAAAACTTTGAATGAAGGCCTTTTACTGAAGAATTTTTGAAGAATGAACTATTTGGACATTCTTGTTGGTTTTCAGACATCTGGGTGTACCAAGTAAACTACTGTACATATTTATTAGCTAGTTTAATAATGTCCCAGGTCTAATTAAAACAGTGTTTTTAAGAACTAATTGTCACAGAAAACTTTTTTTAATGTAGCTAGGCTGATAATAACTAATGATAGATGAATTCAATTTACATAAATTTCAGGCCAAGAAAATATTTTAAAATTATGCCACAGAGGATTGCTTTAAGTTAAGAAGTTAATGTTATTATCTCCTCCTCTCATTTAAATTGTTTGGTTTATAATAATTGTGGAGCATAATAAGTGTTTTGAGATTTCCCTCGATGAAATTTTAATAAAATTTGATAGTCAACCACCCTGAATAACGAAAATGTTATCAAAATTTATATGTATATCTATTTTTTCTATGTAAAACCATGTATTTCAAGTTCAACCATTTCATATGTTGCTTCCTCATCAAATGAAAGATTTTTTAAAAATAGATTTAGATATTGGCAACTTTCTGAAAAATTCCAATTGAAAAATCATTTCTTTAACTTAAAAAGATTCAACTATGTTGAAAAAAAATTGATCACATGATTTGTTAGACCCTGAGCATTTTTGGTTTGGAGGCTAAATTTCAGTGTTTCCATGTTCTCAAGAATTATACGTTAAAGTTTAAAAGGAAAAAGTAGAATTTTTTCTTTTTAGATTCCTTAGCCTATTTTATTATTTTTGGTAGCTCCTAATCTTAAAGGGAAACCCTAGTGAGTGACAAAGTCGATCTGTCAAATTGAGTTTCGAATAACTATGTTATACAGCATTATAGTAATTCATGGCAACATAAATGTAAGGAGTTCTGAAACAGTAGCAAAGAATTCTAAGCAAAGTTAAATCATTTTTGTGAATTGATAACACCTAGTCTAAAAAAGATCTTTAAGAGTCACTGTTTACTTTCTAAATCTCATCATTTAAAGTATCAAGAAATGGGTTTATTCTACATAATTCTCCTTTAAAATAGTCATTTCCAGAACCAGCAGAAGCTATTCTAAGATGAATAATTTTATTTCTTTTTATGCCAGACCAAGGGTTAAAAGAAACTCCTTACCTTGAGCTGAAGAACTAGCCAGCACATATTTTTCTTCCCTTACCTGTTCTGTCTTCCTTCTTTGCTTTGGCTGATCCTCCCTTACTACCCATCTTTGTAGAAAGATTTAATAGTTAACTGATGCTGAAAGAAAACAGTTGCTGAAATAAAAGAAGTCTCAAACACAAATGCCATGTTTTAATAACTTGGGATATATGTTTATCACTTTATTCTTCCTTTCTTGTAAATACAAAAATGTGCTCAGCCATACTCAGAACAGTTAGAGAGGAAGCACATTAACTTTGTAACTTGTTTGATTGCTGTGCAACACTGCTTTTTAAAAATCAGATCAAGAGGGCTTCCCTGGTGGAGCAGTGGTTGGGAGTCCACCTGCCGATGCAGGGGACGCGGGTTCGTGCCCCGGTCCGGGAAGATCCCACATGCCGCGGAGCGGCTGGGCCCGTGAGCCATGGTCGCTGAGCCTGCGCGTCCGGAGCCTGTGCTCCGCAACGGGAGAGGCCACAGGAGTGAGAGGCCCGCGTACCGCCAAAAAAAAAAAA